AGAGAGAGAGAGAGAGAGAGAGAAAGAGAGAGAGAGAGATTCTTCTGCAAATTTTTCCCTTCATTAATCCAAAAATCTCACTAAAGAAATCTCCGTCATCAATATAGTTGCCAATTTTTTAAAAGAATGGTACTGATTCCAAGTTCCCTTTTACACCATAAAGTTTTATTGTAACTGATGTGCTCTCAGCAGTTCAGACCGTAAATCAGATTCCCTTTTTTCAATTTTTGAGGATATTTATATTATTACAACATGATTGTGCAGAAAAAAATGAAATTTTATCGAAAATTATATCAAAAGATTCAAAAAAAAAAAAGAAAACCCCGTAAGATAAGCAATATGAAACAAAAAAAAACAGTAATGCTGAAGGGAAAATGCTAAGCTAAAAATAATCTTGAAGAAATCAACGAGACCTTCCGGGATGTCGATGGCTGATCATCGTTGCCACCAACATCGCCTCTGCTGTCCGGACACGGTGTCGACAAGGACTGCTGTAATCGTATTTCTGCGCTTGATCCCTACAACAATAATTTATTATTCATTTTTTTTTTAACTTCCCCAATCTCCCAGATTTAGATCATTGTACCGTTGTTTTCTCTTGGCTAGAACAAGCTTTTATAAAGTACATTAATGGAAAAACATCAAGTATTGTGGTAATTACATGTAATTAAACAGTAATTAATGGTGTAGAAGCAAATAGTCCTATTTCTAGTTAACGAGTGACATGCAAGCTAAATGGCCAAAATGAGAGAGTCGAAGAGAAATTAAGAAAATGGAATACTAATCTCGATGTTTTTCACGAAAGTTCAAGTTCTTACTTCATGAAATTATGATTAAAAACTTGATGATATACAGGTATTGCGTAAATATTATATATGCATAAATATTATATATCAACAGCAAAAGTTAAAAGATTGTATAAAATTATTAATTTATTTCACCTCAACTAAAGACTTAAACTAAGGTCTTTAGTTGAGGTGAAATAAATTAATAATTCTAAACTAAGTTATTGAAATCGATAAGATATCCGTTCGTAATAATTTTACAAAAAAAAGCTATTGAGAATGATCTAAAATAGTGCTTGGGATGCAAAGAACACGATCTAAATTAGAAATATTTTATTATCAAAAAGAGAATTATAGAACAAAGATGATGTGGGTAACCTAAGATAGGAAATATGGATCAAAAGAGAAAATTGGCCGTTTAACTGAAGAAAAAGAGGGAATTATCATTTCAAAATGGGAAGAGTTAGAAAAGAAGGGTCATTTTGATTAACTAATCTAAATTTTCTACATGTAAAAGTATTAAACTGCTTTCACCTGATTTTGGAAGAGATTGCTGTAACAAAAAAATATGAACAAATTTGGGTCGCCTTTTCAAGGTTCGAGAAATGAGCAGTATATTAACCTTATTCTTATCATCCAATTCTGATAAATCAGCATGCTAAAAACTCACTACCTATTTCACTTATGGCATATACATATGTATATCTTCATTTCCAAAAAAAACTCTTCTACTAGTGAAAGTCAAATTTGGTGTCATTTAAAAAACCTGAAGACTTTTTCATTTTTTTGGAAAGTGCTGGAATTTGAAGGTTTCTCTTCTCCTTAAAAAATATCACGTCAGCTTACTAAGCCTTTGTTAAAAATTTCTCTTATAAAGTTAAAAATAAATTAAAATCTAGTCCATGTTGTAAATCCACAACTCATGCTTTAAAAATTTCGATAAAAGAGTAATCTCACGATTTTATCATAACATCCCTTTTTTTTGGTTTATTTTTTTTCATTCGTTAACAAAATAGCTTAGTAACTGAGATACGAAGTTTATGCAACGCAAATTGTTATATCAAACTACAATTTTGTTAACGATAATGAAATGAGAAATTGAAATTAAATGAATTAAAATCGATGGTATGATAATCACAATAAGTGATAAGCGATACCGCGATGTGATTTGATTCGATATGTGATGGGAAACACGGATCTTCCATAGTATTGGCTTGTCTTGTTAAGGCATTATTGCATGTAGTCGTTGCAGCCGAGACCTTCTCAATATCATTACCGTGCACGGGAGTTGATCCTGAGGGTACAAGAGATGCATCAATTGCATGGCTGCCATCACTCAGAGGCGGTGCGGAACGTGGCGGAGGTGGCGGTAGCGCAATTGGTGGACGACGTGGGCGAATGCTAGTAGCAGAATCCATGGACTGATAAAGCCGAGTTGATTCATATAACGATGATGAACTTGGATTCAGACGGCATTCGAAATCATCGTCATCCAATTCGAACCACAAATCATCTGTCCTGCAACTATTTTTTCAATTAACATTTTATAACAATGAGTGGAAGTAATCTTTGTCCTTCTCTCAATTAGCTACACCGAATAGAAAAACTGATGTACTCTGGAGTTTTGTGTCGTACTTCATATTTTTATATGAGTGGTAAAGCGAAACAACATCTTTCTATTTTACTTACTGTAATTTGAGAAGTAGCAAAAATAATTTAAAACTGTATATAAGTTACCAATAAATTGTCCGCATTCCTTCCAATTCTTTTTTTTCTGCTCTATTGAAATTCTCTATATTAATGCTCTTTGATTTTTTTTTTCAAATAGTAACATTGATAACTAAGGTACATCAAAATTCTATGGATCATCCAAAATCTTAAAATTTGCAATGAAGTCTAAGTTTAAAAAGTTTGTATAAATTTCTAAAACTTCCAAAAATCTAAGTTTTCCAGCTCCTCAAATAAGCTGCAGCAATACAGTACACCATTGACAGCTTCTTGAAAATAAGACATTTCACGGTAGAACAATTTAATGAAGTAATGATATTGTCGAGGAGAATAAACATAACTGGATTGTGATGTCATAAAAAATAACTGCGACAGTTTTTGATGAATAATATGCAAAATGTTACGAATTTTTGTAGAACTGTTACTAATTTAATTATAATTTTGACAGTTTTTCAGCCTTTCCCGTACTGAACGCCCTTTAATGTCAAATTCTTTACATAATTTAGAGTGGTCAATGGAATATATTGTGATTAATAGTGTTTCAATTGATTATTAATAATTTTCACTGCTATAAAAATAAATATCATTCATCAGATCAGTTCCAACTCCATTCAGTTAATGTATAACCCTTAGTATTATTTGCTTTCCAAAATAAAAGATAATCGTTTACTTTCACTACCATTTCAATAATACGTTAGGGTTGTTATAAAATCTTGCAAAATTTTCAAAAAATTGAAACTGAAAGTTTTAAAAAATTAAATACTTAAAAGTCATTAAAAGCAATAGAAGACAACAAAAATTTTTTCGCGGATTTTCTGATGAAGCTTGTTTGAGAGCTTTGAAAAATGAATCAGTTTTAGAAAAATGATTAAAAAAATCTTAAAAGAAAATTCCACATAAATACGATTTCTTTTTAATAAGTACTGAAAGAAAAAAATCGTGTAAGTAAATTTTGAAAAATGATAAATAAATTTTCGGAACAGAAATAAACAATCGAATACTTACTTTTAATTTAATATGTTACTAATTAAACATAAATAATATATGTAGCAAATAATATCTACCATAAAGATCATTTATTCATTGTATGAAAAATATAATGAACAGAGTATCAGTACAGTATACGGCAGATAATATTTTTAATGAAAAAAAATACCATCACGTATAAGTCGTACAAGAGTGAATGGTCCAAACAATCATAATCAACAAAACATTTAACAAAAGGGGAATCGACTGAACTTCGAGAGATGATCCTAGTTTGTAAACAGTTCATTTATCGTTGTACTAAACGTTCATGTAATCATAGTATCTTTGATAATGTATGACATGGAGGATAAGAAAAGCAAAATATAATAATTCCTTATGAAAGCATTTAAGAAATTTGTTACAGATAGATTTAATTAAAAAATTAAATCAAATTTGAAATTTAATCGAACGATTAGAAAGATTGCTTTGTGTTCTTGAGGAAAATAATATCTCAAAATGAATGCTTTACATTCATACAAACTGCACGATTTCATTGATTTAAAGCATCTTTCAACAGCTGCTCTAAAAGCTCACCACTCTTATTATCCTCAAATATCCTCGCAAAATTTATACATTAACTTTAGCAGTGAATTCAATCGATCTATCAGACTGCCGTTATATAATTCATTGGATGATCCATGCCATGCTAAGAAAATCAATGCTATGCCATATTTGCATGTACGCTGATCTGATATTTGCACGATAACAAAGTAACACACATAAATTAACCATATTAGCGGGGTGCTTAATGTTGTCGTTTCAGAAAAGCGCTCGAAAATAGGTATGTTGTCTGTCTGTGTAGTGCTGCTTTCTTTCTATCTGCTTTTCATGTGAATAAAGTACATTTTTTTTGCTTTAAAATACATCTGTGATCAAATTAAACAAACTTCTCTCATTAGATAAGAGATACAATTATTTTTATGGAATTCTAAATAATTTTATATAATTCAGCTTTTAAGTCTAGAAAAAACTAATTTCCAAATAAAAAAACAGGATCATAAGAGAAAGAGTTCACAAAAACAAACGCAACTTTATTTTGATCCTTCTGTTCTGTCATCAATTTCCATTATATTGTAAATTAGCCAAACTTAATGATATCAAATTTATCTCACGTATTTCACTAGAGAAAGGAATTTCTCCTTCCTTTGTTTGTTAGCTAAATTGGTTCCCTCAGGGAGATAACTATGGAAACATATCCAAATCAATATTTCCACTATTCACTCTTTACCTTCGCGCTATTTCTAAAATCTGTCAACAAACCATAAATGACTGCAAAAAAATTTTTTAAAAAAAAACAAGTTTCTTATTTAAAAGCATTGGAATAAAATGAACTTCTTCATTCATCTTTTCCTTTCGCTTTTTCTCATTTCTTTTTTATTCAATTTTTTCAAGTTTCCGACACTATTCACTCTTATTTTATTCTGGAAATCTACAAATCCTGAGATAAATTCCATAAAATTTATTGCCATCGTCTAATCTAACTTTTTTTTCATATAGAATATAAGTTAATATAAGTTACCACATATTTTGTATTTTGGTTCTGTCAAAAAAAATTTTTTTAATTTGAACTCTTTTTTAATACTCTATTTGTAAATTATATTGATCAAAAATGTTTGCATTGGAAAATGTTTGACAGAATTCTCGTTTGAATTGTCTTTTTTTTAAAATAACGCTTTCAACACTTCACCTTTCGCCTCAATCTCATTTAAATTAAAATTAAATCAAAAAACTGCAAGATTTTTCCACTCATCCTAAATCGAAGCTACAACAAAGAGATTCAAAATCACTGACAGATAACTGGCATCGAATAGACAAAAATAAACAACTTAGCCATACAGCAAGCTTTTCTCAGTGAGGTCTATACCACCAGCTCTAGTGTAATCAATTAAAGTGTTCCTTGCTAAATAGTTTACTCGTAAGCTAGAGAGGAAAGAATACCTGTTTGAAATAATTTAATTAATAGAAACCGACAAACGAGCAAAATTAGAGAGGTTGTGAAATTTGTGAGAAGAACCATTACAAAAAGTAAGTTTACGCATGGCTAAAAGGTAAAGCCTTAAAATGATAATTTTTAAACAAAAACTTTATTATCAAAATCGGAATAAAGATTAAGTCAGAATGCAAAATTGTCTTTTCTCGGTTTCATGAACTTTATTTTTCCCTTCGTCTAATACAAACAAAACTCTCATCTCTTTATTCATTTATGAATCTCTTCTATTCCATTCATATCTTTTCCTCACTCCATATTATTTATAATACGAAAATTTATTATGCACTATCACGTACGCACGAATCGATGCAAATTAAAGATACAATCGTTTGTCAAAGACATATATATCCGTGTTGATTGAATTACAAATGGATAATCAAGAAAAAGCAAGGAAAGTGTCTTCATTTTGAAACGGTTTTGAGTGATATCCACGAGGCGTGCAGATCGGGAATGACTAACCTCAGATCGGGAATGCTTAATACCGCAGTATCAGATCCAGAACGCGTAATATCGTAGTAGTCTTACAACATGAATATGACTTGAAAGAACGAAGTGTAAGCCAATTTTCACATTTTTAAAATATTTTTTCGCACGTAAGAAAATCCAATTAACTGACAGACAAATCAATTGAATTTTCTTACATGTGCGAAAATAGTTTTACACTGTTAGAAAATCCGGTAAATCACAACATCCTGATTAAGAACAGGAAGAGAATAGAAGAAAGAAGTTTTTAAATGTTAATCCAAACAATGCTAGCAATCCATAGACGATCTTTTTTTTTTTCTCAATAGCATCTGTGAAAGAGCGTGCACATTGTTTTTGAATTGGTCAATAAATAATCCCTACACTAAAGCGATTCTAAATTTGTATAATTCTAACAAAAAAAAAATTTTTAATTTACAAGAAAAATTTTTAGTCATTCATAGCAAAGTTTTATTTCACTTCAGCAACCTACTGAAATAATGTTTTACGAAGAATGAAATATATGCCACAAAAAATCTCTTCCTGAAAGAGAGTTAAATGACTTTGTGCAGTTGTTTTTAGGATCGGGATGAAAATAGTCTAAGATTATCGTATAAGTAATGAGACTTTTATTAGTAATATCTATTAAGTGAAGACCTACGAATGAAATGTTATGGAACTTCCTAATCACTGTAATATATTTTATCGCAAGTTAGTTACTAATTAATTATTTCTACTAACAGTTCATATAATGGAAGATATATTAGAGCACTACTCTATTGATTACTGCCATGAATGTATCAATAATTATCATCCTTATCTCCATCAATTATTCCTATTAGATTTGAAAATAGTAGTCAATACACAAAAGAGAGAGAGAGAGATTTCTTCTACAAGATTTTAATTTTTTCACATTTAATAAAGTTAGTGAAAAAAAAAAGGCGAACAGAAGCGTTGCTTAACTTTCAGATAAGCAAAACTCGTACAATGTTTCGATGCTTGCTTCTTTTTCCAATTCATTCAAGCTATGAAATCGATCGGCTATCATTTGTTGTTGCCGCTTTTCACCATCAGAAGATGGCGTTATTTCAGATACTGACGGGAAATAACCATCTGAACAATAATGCATTCCAACTAAACCGTACATTCGATCACTGTTAACTTTTCTTCTTCCTTCTTGCTGTTGTGACAGTTCAAATAATTTCAAATAATAAAGAATTGGCTTTTTCTGTTTTGTTCTTGTAATAACAACAATTGTTAATAATAATAATAATAAATAATCGAAAACGTTCATAACGAAATATGTTGAATAAATGAATGAATAATCTCATACGATCATTGATAAAGCCGAAAAAAAAGAAGATACAATTAAAGATACGATAGTTTTGCTAATTTATCTAGACTGAAAGTCTAGACGGATGTCAATTGATCGTAGTAGATATGATAATCATTGCGACAGCGTAATTATGAGAATTTTTTTTCCAAGCAAAATAATACAAAAAGAAAAGAAACCGATGTTTGAGAAAATATAAAATGATAAATATATCCATAGCTAAAAAGAAGAGGATTTGTTGAAAAGTTTTGCAGGAAAGATTTAAAATTTTAAAGATTAAATTAAGTTTAAGAAATGAAAAAGGCTTTCAAGCAATTTATACGTTCAAGAACAAGAAGTGAGAATGCAATCTGTTCGTTTCAAAATATAATTTTCGCTATGGTTTTATTTATGAATTTGAACTGAGCAGTCGTTAAGAATAAAATAATTCGTCTTCTAGGAAGTTTTAATAAGCGTCGTTGACACATATAAAATTTATTAGCTTTGTTAGGACATCTTATCTCGAGAATGTATTATCGTTCTTCTATTTAATTTTGTGAGATATCAGATCTCTTTAGGTTAGATCATATTTAAAAAAGAAATGATTTAAGAAAAGATTTATTTGTTTATGTTATCATAATTAATGAACTATTATATAGCAAAAGCTAGAAGAGATTTAATATCTCACAAAGTTATCAAAGAAAATTTAAATAATAAAACAAGCTCAAAATAAACAAAAAAATATTTGCGAGGAGAGGAAAAACGGAAAAGGACTGGAAATGGTGAAAATCAAAAAAAAAAAGCAGAAATACAGCTCTCCGACGACAGATGAAACAGGAAGATTATAAATGATGATGTCAGTGCTGGTAGCAATGACGATTTGGAAATAGTGCAAGGAAAACTGCAACACACTACCGATTGGTCCCTTTCTTTAATTCTCTCGCCATTCTCGACAAAGAAACGAAAACCACAGATCGCAACTAATAAGTTCATTTTGAATTTTTTTTTTAATTCCATGCAGCATAATGAATCATCAATGGAAAATGGCAAAATGAAATTCGACAATTGTCATTTCTTACATCTGTAATAAATGGATAGCTAATTCATAGCGATTTGTGAAATATCTAAAATTAATTTTCAGAAATATCTCACCTGCAATAACAATTGACGTATTGTTTTCAACTTAATTCCACTTTGTTCACTACAATTACCACTACCTATCTTAATTAACTATGCTGTATCTAAATTTTATTGAAACTTAGTCATGTTTAAGATAAAAATGAATAAATGAAAGAAACAGGAAAGAATACAGACCGTGCACTTTAATCTCCACTTACTATATCATACTTCTTATTTCCTATAAACATTTACATTTCTTTCAAATCTCTCCCTTCTATTAATGCCACTTTCGCGATGATTTTCAGTGAAAAATAAAAAAAGAAAACATTTTCTTTCTTTTCTTTTTTTTCAAACAAAAACAAAAATTCTTTACAGAAAACTAACACATAAGAGATTTGAGTTATGCTAATATCGATAGCCATACATTCTTCCTAAGGCTTATCTATCTTTTTATTCCCGCAAAACATTATAAAATCAATTAGCAAATGGAACAATGATAGCATTAGAAATCGACAGGAAGCATCTGATAGAGAATGTCATCACACGACATCAACAATAGGTGAGAGTAATCAGAACTGGTATTTGTTTGGAAGATAAATTATACAAAAATTCCTGTTGCAGGAAATATCGCTACTGAAAATGAAATATATGGTTGAAAATGGGAAATTGATCAAATGTTTCATTCGTATTTTCAGCTTTCTTATTTGCTTCGATCAGAATAGTTTGGAACGAATGAATAAATAAAGTGAATTTAAAAAAAAAATATTGAATGATTGAACAACTGTTGCACACTGATTGAATTTCATTTGCTTCTTATACTTCCAGAAGAAGCTAAAATTCTGCTCCTTTTACAGTTAGGATTACTTATTTTCCATTTTTATAGAATTCCATACACACATGCAATGCAATCAAAATTTTCTTCTACAAATTAAAATGGTGACATCAATGAGTCATACCATCCAGATGAAATCGTCATGAAGAGAAAACATTATTACATCGGAAATTAATGATCCGTCATGTGGTAAACAAAAGCAGGCTTAATTAAATGAAACAAAGGCGTAGAATACCTGCTCGGCAAATAGTGTGCACATGATTAGTAACAGAGTTCATAATAGCATGCATCAAAAATTCCTATTTTAAATAATTCCCGACCTAATTTATTTCGAATTTCAATTAATTTTGCAAAGTGCATTCGTGATAAGTTGAGCTCTGTCAAAACATTTCAGGGCTACTCGCTGAAGGAAACGGATTCTGTGACAAAGTGCTACGAGCCGATTGTGCCTATCAATTGGAAAATGATAGTATTTTTTGGTTACAATCATTCTTACGAAATGATCAAATAAACAGAACTAACTGCCCACCCTACAGCTGATCTCTTCCCCGTACTTCTTCTAAGATAAAAGCTTTACTTAAAAATTTTACAAAATTTTATAACCATAAAATAACGGAAAGAGAAAAGAAAAGAGAAAGTAGGCGAGATGTAGAAGAGATTGATATTAAAATGCAAATTGTTAGAGAATAGAAAACTTCGGAAGAAGAATAAATGCTATAATGGAAAAGGAGAGAAATGAATGTACAAGTTGTCATGCTTAATGAAATGTCAAAAAATCAATAATGAACCGTTGATCGAAATTTTACCAAAGAAAGTTGTAAACAGGGGAAGGAAAGAAAAAGAGAGAGAGAGAATGAGCGAATGAAGAAAGATGAAACGATTTAGTTTACAAATTTTTAAAAGCAAGCAATCAAACTAAGAACATCAGCTCAAATCAATCTAGCTTAGACAAACAAATCAATCCATCTATTAATGTTTCAATAAAACATTGCTCAAACTAAAAAGTACTAAAAATTGTTTCTTCACAAATAACTAATCTATAATCAAGTACTTAATACAAACTATTCATGTAATTTTTAAACATTAATAGGAGAGAGAAAGGTGGCAGTGCATATTTGTCATCATGAAATATATCATTGTAGGGGAAGAATTGCAAGTATATGTATGAAAATTAGCTATTAGCTAAATTAAAAGTATAAAATGATAGTTACTTATGGCAGTAAATCAGTTCGGTTCATTATTTTTCCGAAATTCACGTTTCACATTCGTCCAATTTCATTCAAATTGCATTCAAAGCTTTGCACTTTGCATTGTTTTACTATAACAGTCATACGACAGCAACTGCAATATCCACTGAATCGATGTTTCGGAAGTATACAGGGACATTTAATGTGACAAATCCAATGTATTTTGAGAATATTAAACCGAATAAAATATTGGAAATATTCGAGGATGCATTCAAGGAAGTGCTTGCACAAGTACAAAACGAAACGTACAGTATGACAGACGGAAAGAAAAGTCAACAACTCCGTCATCGTCGTCTATGTTCCAGACAAATTGAAATATGCTTAAATTAGCAAAAAATCGGAAAAGAAGAAAAAAAGAGAATCGAATCAAAGCAATTATCAATCATTCTCAATCCAAAGCAATTTAGCTGAAGATGCAGTAAATTATTGTATGATTTTATTGCGCTTTAATTTTTAAAATATAAAATTTATATATGTATATATAAACAGAAAAAATGTTTAATCTAAACATTAATCACTTTCACGTCCAATATAAATGCTTGTTAAAATTAGTCTACCTGATATTGCATGGAAATATAAAAATGAGATATAAAAATGAGAGAAATGAGAGAAATTACAAAACATTAGGAAAAAAGTGATAAAACTAAAACTAAAAAAATCTATTTGGTGGACCATCCAACACATAGTGATTAAAGCATTCATTTAATATTATTTAACTAATAAGTCCAATTAACTTCTTGCATTTTTTGATATCGAACTGATAGGAAAGCATTTAGATATTAAAACTTCAAGGTCCAATATAAAAACAAAGTCAATTTTAAAAAAAAATGTCTTGAATTTTACTCACCAATTTCAGAAAAAGTAAAGTATCAAGGAGAGACTGAACATATATATGTAGTTATTAAGTATAACAAAAGTGGCAGGTAATAATGGAGTTAAGAGTGCATGCATAATGCAAGCCCTGCAAACTGTTCAGGATAAATATTGAAAGGTCTAGTAAAAATATCACTGAGGACCAAACACCTCTACATCTGTTATATGACTTTCAAAATACAGAAAAACTTGCAAATGGAATTGCGATCCCAGTTTGTATTTAAAAAAATCATAAATGTAATTGAAGTCAGATGAATTGAGTCACTACGAACATTGAACAAAATGAACAACCTTCCTAAAGGACTTCGTCGAGCGTGGCTAACAGAAGCATCTTGTCTGGATAGTTGGTAACGGTCATTTTCCACAGAGCTCACCTGACAGTTACCATTCAATACTGTCACCGTACGACGCGACTGACGTTTTGAAAAACCATTAGCAGAATTACCCTGGAAAATAATAAATTTTTTCAATTTTCTTTGAAATTTCAATAACTTTGTTAAAATTATTGTATCACGGGAATTCAATGTTTCATCTCGTAAAGTCTCCAAAAAGGCTTGAAAAGTAACACGAAATGTTCCATAATTTTCGGTCGAATACAGCACGAAAAAGATGCACACTTACGACAGCAAGTTTGAATTTGTCCTTTGGAGGTAACGATAAGGGAAAACATGGTTGTGGACCGTTGGGTGTCATGGATGACGAAGTGGCAATATTTCTTGCAGCAGTGACATCTGAACATTCACCGGCAACTGCCGTACCATTACTTGACGAGGTCAGTTCCCGGCGTTGTTGTTGTTGTTCTAAAGTAACCGTCGTCGTTTTTATCGCTATTTTCGTCCTTAAAATACTAAAATTCACTTATTTTTCAATTACTGCTTAAAAAATTTTACAAATTTGTTCTTTGGAGACAGAGATAAGGAAGTGTAAATCGATGAGTGTCGTGGATGATGAGGTGGCAATATTTAAATTTGCCACCTCATCATCCACCACACTCATCGAAATCTAATTAATGAAATCAGATTAGTAATGACACAAATTTACAAACAAATACATATACAACAATACATTGTAGTCAAATAATTGTTGAAAAATAAACAGTAAGAAGGAAATGGTGACAGGAAAGAGATTACGATTCAAAGGAATAGTTATTATTCCTTGAAGAAATTAATTCACAACTTCGATTTAAAAAATACATTCTAATTAATCACCAATTTTGATAATAATTCTCTACAAGCATGCTGAAATTTAGGAAATGCACAAAAAAAAGTAAATTATCAATTTGCGCTCAGAAACTTTTCTCCTCTAAACCAACAGTTTACTTCTTTTTAAATAACGAAACCGTGCAGCAAACAATTATTTTATAAAAATATTTTTTAATTGCAATGCATGAAAATATGTAGTCTTGCCATGGAATAATTCAAATAAGATTCAGATGTCGAGAAATGCGGGATCTCTAAATGGTTGTCATATCATAGTCACTTCAAATAGTCATGCAATAACATTTATTTTGATTGCTACTATTAATGTGTTGTCAACAAATTTTTTTCGATTGTTACATTTACTCTATGTTGGATCTTTCGGAATTTATCAAAATTTCAACCATTCTTCATGACCATAGATAACAGAGCAATATAAATATACAAATATCATTTCTCCATAAATCACTTTTGAATTTGTTCACAAAAAATTTTAAAAATTGCCACGAATTTCTTGATTCATCCAGCATATATATAACTTGAACAAACAAAAAAAACACACACACACACACATTTAAGCAAGCGGTCGACTTTGACAAATTGATTACAATCTAAACGAATAACATTTGAGGTTCTGAAAAGGAGTAGGAAGAGAGTTGTGGAAATTGCACTTTTTTCCACTTCTCTTCAATGTCTCCATTCATTTTCAATTAATTAATATATGTTTTGGTCAATTTTTCCTTTCATTTCAGATATTTATAGAATGAATTTCAACATTTTTGCAATGCTTATTCACGGCTTTTCAAATCTAATAAATTTCTAGAAATTATAGATTGAAATTCATGCTATAAATATCTGAAATAAAAGAAAAAAATTAATCAAAACTTGAATAAATTAATTAAAAATAAAATAGCTAATGCTCCGTTTTGCACATTTCATCAAAAATGATGCCATTTAATCGATTATTACTCATCTCATCACTAAAAATGAATGATACAGAAGTATCAGATAATTAAAATACTCAATTATAAGAAGGATCCCTATCCTAATCTTACGGCTGAAATCGATGGCGCTATTATGTTCTTCTTTTAAGCAGCTCCTTTCCTAACAGAATGTCATCTTTTCTTGATATATCTCAAAAATGAATGCAAATTTTAAGAACAAAAATTTCATCGAGTCAGACGTAAGTACTGAACTTTCTATCAGTGAACTGGTTGGATTGTTTCCATCTACTATGCTTAACTTTCACGCTAATTTACTAATTCATTTATCTGCTTACAAAATCATAACAATTAATCGAAATATGTAAGGATACGTTGACGAAAAAAAATCACTTTCTCACTTAAAACATTAATACTGAAAAAGTAAAGTAAAAGGAACATAATTAAATTAGTCAAAAAGATCAGATATTTTGTGATACATCTGCCAATTTGTTGATATGATTGAATAACTAATTATTTGACCTATTGACTCGCTTAACTTTCACTTAATCCATCTTCCTATACCATTATAATACATTTATGATTGTTACTTACATTATTGCATTTCAGGTTCTCTATAAACGCATTTGTTGAATGACGACAAATGACGTTCCGTTTAACTGCTCAACACGAGAACAGGTCAGAGAATATTTACATGCCAGACGGATACTCTCCAAGGTCACTCATGAAATCGTTGAACTTTTTTTTTCTTTTATATCACTTCCAGAATTCTGCCAATTTTTCTCATACTTCTTTATTCCGCTGTGTTAGAAATATTCATTTGCATGCGAAAATCGACACTTTTCAGCAATTTTGTTGGGAGAAAAACTTCGTAACATTGATGGTTAGAATGTCTCCACTAAAAATCAAATGATATTCCTTATATTTCCATTAATCTCCAAGAAATTTTCTTTTACTTCTATTGCACTTTTTAAAGAGAAATATATAAAGGAACAAAATTTAAACATAAATTTTATCCGGAAATTTTTTTTAATTTTGCAATAAATCCAACTGATTTTCGAAAATAATTTGTCAAGTTTTTTAAATTCAACATATCAAAAAATATAACAAATCAACAACGATAAGTAATAAATGAAAGCTACCACACATTTTCTAACATATTAAAATTGAAGACTTAAAAAAATCAATAATAAGTGAAATTATAAAAAGATAGAATATTTAAATTCTGTCGGTTTCCTTTGAAGAATTGAGGAGCAGGGAGGAGAAAAAAGGGGAGTGTACTGCAAAATATACGAACTCTTATTTACAAAAGTGAGATGGTGCATTTCCTTTCTTGTAAAGAAGTATTTTAAAAGTATCGATTGAGCATACATAAGTAAATGGTGACAGAGGACGGACAGAGGATAGGGGACAGGAGACAGAGGACAACAACAAGAAAGATAAGAGGCTTCTCTCTTCAGGACATCCTTGTTCCTTTTCGAAAAGCCTCAATCAGGAAATGTTTTTTTTTGTTCTTTCTTTAAATGTCGGCATATCTCTTTTCTTCCTAAGAAATAGCTAAACTGGCAAGAAAACACTAAGAGTTGTTAAAAATTAAAATCAGAAATGAGCATTTCTATGAAAAATGAATCTTTATAGAAATCAATAAATCATATTTGTAACTATAGAAAAATGGCTGTCGATGGCCAAGAAATGATAAAAAAGTAGTCAAAAATAAGCATAATTTTGAGAAATTTTCTTAATAAACTAACAAATATGCATCGAAGATGACAATTAGTCTGAAGTGTTAATATCAATCTAAAGTGTCTCATCTACAAGCCAGTTAGAAGTTAACTTTTTAGCAGCTGGCCAAGCACTGGCTTAATGTGCATGTATGAGTGTGAGCGTGTGTGAGTGTGTGTGTGTGTGTGGGTGTGTGTGGGTGTATGATAATGACGACGAGGAAAACGACGAGGACGGATATTTGCAATTGATTTAGTTATATGGCTGGCATCAGTCTTGCAGAGGATTGGCTGTTAGTTAGAAATAAATCGCCAAGCATTATTAGGCCTGAAAGAAAGAGTCGAGATCGCAATATGCTGATAAAATTCTTAGGCCATTCTATATGTATGTATGTGTGCGTGTGTGCAAGCCGTGCAGACCTATGTAACCTCTCAAAACCAAGGGAAAAAGATCGAATTTCCCCATCGGCTCTCTTATGAGAGGATAAGGAAGTTTTCTGTAAACTTTTCCAAAATGTTCGAAAAAATTTTCAATTACTAATTTACATACATTTCTTATGCGTACAGTGATTTAATGCAGACGTGCTGTGAAGTAACACTTCTGGAAGATCTGTATGGTGTCACAAACTATCAGTTCTTCATCGTTTCGGCTTTCACTGCTTTTCACTACCTAGTATTCGCCAATCTATTACGTGTTTTGAATTCAGGTAAAAACATAAAGAGTAATCTGACAAAAATAATCTCACCAGGTCTTTTAGGAATGGGACGTCATATGGCTTGTCAGATTGCTAAATCTGGACTTAAACTTTCATCATAAATGAAAAAGTTCGTGAAACAAACCTGCCAACCAACTTTAAGAAAGAAAATATATGAAAAATTGAAGGCCAAGGACAAATCAATGGGAAAGCCTATATGAAAAATACAGGAGAGAAGAGCCAGTACCACATTGGGCTCACGAAGTGCCAATACTATATTAGACTCACTCAAGTCTACCATTAATTTCGATTACACAAAGAAGTCGGTCCTGGGATGATGATGATTAATTAATTAATGTACAAGTTTCAAAAGATATAATGAAGAAATATTAACGGATTATCCGTAACAATTAATTGTTATAGAATGAGGAAAAGACTGCTGAAGTAGTGAAGGTGATGAATTTAAAGATGGGACACAATTCAGAGATGAAATGTACAGCATATGAGTATAAGGCTTAAGCGCATATGGACAGCTTGCAGGAGGAATGTATAGGCTTGGAAATCTATCTGCTCTGCCCCGTCTGACTAATCCGACCTTTCATCTTGTTTTATGATTTCAAACGTACTTTTTAACTCACTTCCATCACTTTATTATTACTGAAGTAATAAACAATGATTAAGTAAATGCATAAATTAATAACACTGCATCTCTATAATTTATAAATACTTAATAAATGGATATGAGTGACTTAGTATTTGATTACATGGGCAGTAGACTACTGACAATAACAGAACAAAAGGTAGAGTAATATTGAGTGAGTGAGCTTTAATCTGTTTCATTTGAACTAAAATCAAACTATCGAATGGCAGCTAGAAAAGCTAAAAAGCAATTCTTCACAAACAAAAAAAAAACATCCAAATTGAGAAAAGTCAACAAGTAGAACTGGCTTGTTGATCTATTAGGTACGTTCAGAACCATACACGACAGCTACATATACATACGCATGACAACGAACTGCAAATGAATCATCTCTCGTGATTTGAAAAAGCTTGATGGGTGAAGCGAAAAGTGAGGTGAGCTTCCCAGGGATCAAAGCTACCACGTCAGCTAACTGCCATCATACCCTTCCCACACTTCTCTTCAAGAATGTTGGTATAGTTCGTGGCAACGAGTACTAAATTCAAATCACCAATTAATGAAGCTACAAAATTAAGTTTTTGGTATTTTTGCTTAACTTATTTCAAAATGGCTTATTTAAAAAATAAATCCTGTTCATGATAATTTAACTCAATTTATAAAGTTGAAGTACATCATAAACAGTTTCTCTTCCTTTTCCATAAATGTAATAAAAACGAGCAATTTTTATTCATATGAAGCAAAACGGACAACAATTTGAGTAGAAAAGCTTTAGAGTAGAAAAGAAAATTATTTTTATGCATATCAAGCATCATTTCACGTTATGCAAAAAAATTCTTTCTTTTCTCCCTCTAAATTAACATTTGAACTTCTTTGATATGACCTTCTCAATAGCCGAATGCCACTTCAAAACTATTTTAATCACTTGTTGAAGTAAAAACGGCACTCAAAAGCTTTTCTACAAAGAACTCAGAAAAATAACAGTTCAAATTCACCCTCATAGGAAAACGATTCAGAGCATTACGAGTGAATGTGCGATAAAAGCCGCTCATGCTGCTCTAAGCTATAATTACGACTACACTTGACCTCACCTTCCCCATGAATTTTCCCCAAGAAAAACTCGAAAAGATGCAAAAAAGTTATTGCCACCAGTTTTCTATTTTTAAAAATATACAGCGTCAGAGAATCTAGTCAGCAAATTCAAGAATTTTAAAATGACCACTATTTCAACAGCTGAAAATAAAAAGGCAACCAAAAAAAATATGATAAGAGAGAGGAGGAAATAGGATATCATCCTATACCTTTTTAAAGTCCACACAGCGATTTGCAATCATTTCTCTTAACTTCGAAACAATCAGGGAAAGGGGACTATCTATAACATCGATAAAGTGAATTATTTCTTTCAACTGGTTTCACCGCACCAATTTCCACTACTGTATTCCGCAATTCCCTTGCCTGTTCCACGATCAGTAAGTACTTCTGCTTCAACTTCTTCATCTTAAAGCATACGCAATTCATGCCTATAGAACATATGCATTTCAAAAAAAAAGAAATATAAAGCTGGTTATTCGGCAATCAGATCAAAATGTTTTCGGGCTAAAATGTTTTCTTATTCCTTTCCAGAATCTTTATTAGCCTAAAAATGTAGTAGTTATAAGTAAATTTGACAAATTACATGCAATCTCAATAATAATTCTCTAAAATTTGCAGGAAAATAAAATCACTGCAAAAAGAAAAGGCTCACCGTAATCAATTGCGACTACTTCGTTTCGATATACAAGATTTCCGTGATCGCGATTAACCAAGTGTGCATCGACGGCGCTCCCTGGAATTGATATATAATCTTATGTACGAAATTGGAAACAAATATAACATACTATTATTTTATTTTTACGATCATTTCGAATTTTTTGAATATCAATTGAACCTTTTTTAAATAAATTGTGATTATCTTGAAATATATCGTTATTGTTAATATTTATTACTAATCTCTAAGAAGTTCCGCGTTTTTTCGTTACTCAGTTAAAGAAAACTGAGCCAAATTCTTTGAAGTCATTATAGCTAATTAACATTTACAATCAGCTGAAAAAATGGTGATGAAAATCTTCACAGATCAAAATTATATAAATGTATAGTCTACAGAACGTTTTTTTACCCGTTTTTTTCGTTCCCTGCTGAGTCATGGCAATCACAATTCCTGCATATTTCCATTCTTTTTTCTTCATCAATTTCTCTTCAGCATTTCGTTGATCACTCCTTGATTCATCCTATGTTCATTAACAAAATACATCGACAAAAATGAACCTTAATTACAGTGCTAACAGTTGTACATTTAGTGAGCAACACATTAAATCGTACCAATTTTCTAAATTTTTGGCCAGCATAATTAAATCCTGAAAAAATTTTTAAACTTAAAAAAGAATCAATTCCTTACTGGAGCGTATGTTCCTGGTATTATTCGCGGATCAAACAGTACAGGTGCAGCGGTTTCTTGGTCCGAGAAAAGATTTAAAATGACCGGGACAGTCTCATTATACCTGTGAGAAATTCACCTTGTTAAAAAAAATTCACAAAATCTAAGTAAGATAAAAATGAAAACTTGAATTCTTGAATATAAAGTTATTCGAAATTATTTTTTAAAGTAATTCGAAATTATTGTCATTCAAAAACGATGTAATTTTGACTTCAATAGGGAATAAAATCGAATTTCTTGAATATTTCAAGCTCTTAAAGAACCATCCGAAATAAATTGCAGCGTACTCACTGACTAATTTATCAGTCCAAATTTTCCACTGATAATTTCGTTATCAAAAACTTCATCGATCAGTAAAGGCATAAAAAATTTTATTACCTTATGTGTTTATTAAAAGCAGATAAGTTAGGAGTACTAATAAGTCTAGAATACCTGAAAATCCAAAGAATTTTAAATCTTTGATTTCAATATCAAAAAATTCTGCCAACACATTGCAGTTGTCTTCAATTAAAATAAAATTTTTTCCAGCGCAACCAACTCTTTTATCAGAACAGATAAAGACATACTCATTATCTTCCTCTCCGCAATCTTTATCAGAAGATAAATCGACAAGATTTATAT